AGAGGGGCGCGGAGCGCCGGGCTGCTCCGCGGCTCGTGCTCATGTGGATGCCTGCGGCTTGCGGTGAACTGCCCTGGGCCGTCACAGGTCTGGCCGGACTTTCCGGACTTCGCGTTTCCGCCCCCACATCCCCCGGCGGACAAACCTAAAGGATGTGATAGTGATCATACAGCAGGAGCTGTCCCACCCAAGGTGGATGGAACTGAACATCCAGTTTTAGCTCGTCAGCGCAACATGCAGAAAGCGGAGGCTATGAATCCCCAGTTAAGCATGCCAGCCTGAAGCTGCACTTTCGGCGCTGCCGCATGGTTCGTGATCTTGTCTGGGTAAGCCGGCGAGCCGAGGGGGGTTACCGGGCGTCAAACCATCTAAATGCCGCATAACGCCGGCATTGAAGAAGAGAGCCTTACCGAAGCTGAACCTGGACGCTGGTCAGTATATCCCAGGGGGAAAGGCATAGGTTAAGACCTTTCGGACTGGCTGAAGCGCGCGAGGCTGGTAACAAGTAGCTAAGTGTTTTGGAGCGACAAGATAGCAATATTTAGTGACTCCTGATGTCGGCTCACCGCGGCGACGCAGACATTGTCCTCAAACCGGCTTTGCATCGTAACCTTCTACGGTTGGCATCAACCAAGCACGATGGTTGTATAAATCCATTAAGTCACCATACAAGACCTTACAGTGTATATGCATATGCTTGCTCGCTTGTTCGCACCCGCCCCTTGGCGATGGCCTGGCCACCCTCGTGAGGCTTAGGTAGTGAGGCCTTGAAATTATTCAATTGGCTCCGGCGCGGCGCCGGTGGTAGGCGCTTGTGGCCCAACTTTTGTGCTCGACCCGCCGCATCTTCGCCTGCAAGTCCTTCCTGCACCAGCCTGTCCAACCGACCCGTCGGCGCACACGTCGCGGATGTTATGGCGACACCAACCCACCAGTGAACGGCCGCCACATGTTTACTTAGCCTGGCTAAATCGCGCAACGGGAGAACGAGCCGGCCGCTTGGGGGGGCGGGGGCGGCGGACGGGCTCGGAAACGCGAGCAACAGTGTGAGTGGGGCCATGGCTTGCGGCAGGTTGGGCTGAATTCCCTTGCTGCCTCCGGAAATACCGACAACCGACGATTGTGTCCGCCAGACAAGGCTGGAAATGGACCTTGAGGCGTCTCGGCTGATAAATAAGTGGTAGTTCCTCCCGTCGACTAACTATCTGCGGTGAATGACCGGGTACCGCGGAACCCCAAACGGCCAAACCCATAGGCTCACCTCTTAAAATCATCAATTGCATATAAACGAGGGAAGCCTGCCATCTCAAAAGCAGGAAATAAGAGAGACCACCGGCAGTGAACCATGGCCTCCCCAATCTCTCCAAGGCGATTTGCCTTGCTCGTCGGGATCGACCAGTACTCGAGCGACGGCTCAAGAAAGAGTGCAGATGGAAACCCGCTGTCTCTACGAGACCTTCGCGGCTGTGTCAACGATGTCCGGGCGATCGCAGAGCTTCTTCGAAATGAGTTCCAACTGCAGGATCCTCGCTTCCTCACTTCCCCGCCCCTATCGAGCTCCAACTTTCCTACAACGCCAACAGAGCTTCGGCCCACATTTGACAACATCAAGAGGGAATTCGACGCCGTGGCCCAACAAGCTGGCCCTGGTGACCTCTTCTTCTTTCATTTCTCTGGGCATGGGGCAAGACTGCAGCCGACAAGCAAGTCCCCCCTTGGCAGGTCGAGAGACCCGTCTTTGATGACGATGGACTTTTGCTGTGGAAAGCCTGCAGTGAGGGGGTGGCAGTTGAACGAATGGCTGAAAAAGCTTAACGAGAAGAAGATTCGGACCATTGTCACCCTCGACAGCTGCCACTCTGGCGGCGCCTTTAGGATTGATGGAGCCTTTCGGACTCCAGAAGGCTGGACAAGCGTCGCCAACCTTCCCGCCGACGAAGAGGCCACCGCAGAGACGTCCATCGAATCGGGCCGCCGTGACAGCGAGCTGGAAACGTCTTGGTCCATCAACCCGGACGGATTCACGCTGATGGCAGCCTGCGAAAGCCACGAGCTAGCCGCAGAGAAGGCTGTCAACGGCATGCCTCACGGCGCATTCACCAGTGCGCTTTTGGCATACCTCAAGCAGAACCGGCCAAGCGAGTCAATAGTGACTTATCGGACCCTGCGCGACCAGATAGCCGGAAAGGTCAACGGACAGACTCCTCGGGTGTTCGGTCGAGACAGGCTGGTTTTCTTCGGAGACAAGGAACCATTTTCGGCAACACCCATCGTCGTGCGACTTGAAGGAGAAAGGATTTATCTTCCTGTTGGAAAGGCTCACGGTGTCCAGGAAAGGTCCGAATTCACAACTTTCCCGCCTACATCATGCGCAACATTTTCGGTGGATGATATCGACGACTTCGAATGCAGCGCCCCGGTGCCGCCAGCGGTCCTCCACGAGCAGACTTTGCAACAACACAACTACCAGATTGTTCCATGTCGGTGGAGTTTGGGGGACGACGTGCTCCAAGTGCTTGCCCATCCCAGCCTGGGGAGCGAATTCCAGCAGGCGCTTCATGCAGCTCTTCAGGACAGGATCGTTGGAGACATCGAGATTACTGAAGCCAACGACAGCTGCGGATCTAACTCGACCGCGTTCAGGTTGGCGAAGCGCGGCGATGGCGGCATCGACCTCGTTGGATCTCCGACTTTGACCGGGTACGAAGGTCCACTGCGTGGGTTGGACCTTACAGGCAACGTCGCTCAGCAGGCCACAAAATCTGCAGCGGCCTTGGCTCATCTGGCCCGGTTTGGGCAAGTCCTCAGCCCCAGTGGCAGCGCATTTCCGCAGCTTGCGCTGTTCGAGCTGATCCTTAAGCCGAAAGGGAACCAGGGGACCCGTTCGAAAGGCCAAGGGATAAACTTTGTGTTCAAAAACACAACACAGTCTCAGCTTCACTTCACGGTCTTGGTCCTGAGTTCTGGATTTGGCGTGAAGCAACTTTACCCTTCGCAGGATTTTCCACAATCGGTAAATCCGGGCTGCGAGGATTCGTTCGTCTTCAGCATCACGATACCTGACATCCTCGACAGCTATGGGGAGCAGCGAGATATAATTCGTACGGTAGTTACGAAAGGCAGGCAGCTTTCGTGGAAAAGCCTGGAACTGCCTGAGATCTGGGATGCCGACCAGCTGGCCTGCAAGCGCAGGGGGGCGGGGAGGGGTGCGGATTTGGAATCCCAATGTAACTGGTGGGTTAAGGACAACGTAATACTAACAACAAAGCAAGATGGAGATGGGATCTATTGGACGTCACGCTTACTTAGTTAGGTAACATTTCCTTCTCTTTCCTTCCATTCGTCGATGAAATTTTTAGCACTTGTACTCTGTTCGTCGTGCGAACCGTCCCATCAAGACTCTGATCGCCTGTGAAGGGTAATGTGCAACTGCGGAGTACGCTGCATTTGGCGCAAAGCCCTGCTCAGCAAGGCTTTTGTTCTGGAGGAGCGGGTGCAGGTACGGGTAGGCTGGTACTTGACCCTTGATCGCACTGGGCTGGGAGGAAGCCTGCAGTCAGCGCACTGATGGCCCCATATTTTCGTAGTGAAATTGAGGAAGCCCGTCGCTCGTGGCGTACGGCGTTCGCCCATGTACTGTGTTGTGATCGTCAAATTCGCGCGGGTACTTTCCATCACCAAATCCTCCGAGTGACTCGCCATACTGGAAAGGCCTGCCTCTATCCGAAAGACATATTCCGCGGAGACGCTCACATGCCTTCGGTCCAGCCGAGTACCGCGCGCGGGAATTAATGGCAAATGCTCTAGGGCAGCATAAACGTGGCGGCCGTTTAGTGGTCGGTTTACGAGGGAAGGTGGTTACGGCGAATGCAAGCTCTGCCAGCTGAAAGCTGAGTTGCTGCAGCGTGATAGCTGCTGCAGCGTCGCATCGCACACTGCCGCACCAACTTACTGAAATGCGCAGCCAGCATCGAAAACGACGGGTTTCCAAATGCAGTCAGCTGCACTAGTTTGTGGCCCGGCTATGGCTCTTGTCAAGGCGGTTGGACAAAGGGAAACCCCTCCCACCGCTACTAAAAAGCCAGGACAATCAGGACTGGGATCCTGATTGCGATAGGGGTCTCACACCCAGCACGCACCGAGACAAGGCTGCAGTGCACTACAGGGCACGCCACGCCGTAACAGCTCTTATCAGGACAGCTCGGAAGGAATATACATCACCCACTACCACTCGATACCAAAATCGGTTCTATTCTGGCTTTTCAAGCTTCGAAAGTGGCTGGATAAGGTTTATCTTGGCAAAAACCTCGGAGTACGAGAAGCCGTTTCGAATCACTAGGAGACTTTTTCAAACAGCAGTAACCTCGGACTGGAGCGATGGCAGACCTCGAAGAAGCCATCCGAGTAGGCAGAGAAGCCGTCGATGCCACCCCGCTGGATTATCCGGACCGCGCTGGGTGGTTGAACAACCTCGGGGTTCGTTTAAGCGACAGATACTCTCGGACTGGGGCGATGGCAAACCTCGAGGAAGCCATCCGAGTAGGACGAGAAGCCGTCGACGCCACTCCGCTGGATCATCCGGACCGCGCTGAATGGCTGGATAACCTCGGAATTTGTTTACGCAATAGATACTCTCGGACTGGGGCGATGGCAGACCTTGAAGAAGCCATCCGAATAGGACGAGAAGCCGTCGACACCGCCCCGCTGGATCATCCGATCCGGGCTGTACTGCTAAACAACCTCGGAGTTTATCTTGGCGACAAATACTCTCGGACTGGTGCGATGGCAGACCTCGAAGAAACCATCCGAGTAGGACGAGAAGCCGTCGACGCCACCCCGCTGGATCATCCAGACCGCGCTGGATGGTTAAACAGCCTCGGAATTTGTTTTGGCGGCAAATACTCTCGGACTGGGGCGATGGCAGACCTCGAGGAAGCCATCCGAGTAGGACGAGAAGCCGTCGACGCCACCCCGCTGGATTACCCGGACCGCGCTATGTTTTTAAACAGCCTCGGAAATCGCTTATGCGATAGATACTCTCGGACTGGGGCGATGGCAAACCTCGAGGAAGCCATCCGAGTAGGACGAGAAACCGTCGACGCCACCCCGCTGGATCATCCGGACTGCGCTGGACGGTTGAACAACCTCGGAGCTTTTTTACGCGATAGATACTTTCGGACTGGGGCGATGGCAGACCTCGAAGAAGCCATCCGAATAGGACGAGAAGCCGTCGACGCCACCCCGCTGGATCATCCGGACCGCGCTATATTTTTAAGCAGCCTCGGAAATCATTTAGGCGATAGATACTTTCGGACTAAGGCGATGGCAGACCTCGAAGAAGCCATCCGAATAGGCCGAGAAGCTGTCAACGCCACCCCGCTGGATCATCCGGACCGCGCTGGGTGGTTGAACAACCTCGGAATTCGCCTAAACGATAGATGCTTTCGGACTGGGGCGATGGCAGACCTTGAAGAAGCTATCCGAGTAGGACGAGAAGCTGTCGGCGCCACCCCGCTGGATCATCCGGACCGCGCTGGATGGTTGAACAGCCTCGGAAATCATTTAGGCGACAGATACTCTCGGACTGGGGCGATAGCAGACCTCGAAGAAGCCATCCGAGTAGGACGAGAAGCTGTCGGCGCCACCCCGCTGGATCATCCGGACCGCGCTGGATGGTTGAACAGCCTCGGAAATCATTTAGGCGACAGATACTCTCGGACTGGGGCGATAGCAGACCTCGAAGAAGCCAAAAAATCCTATTCTGCCGCCCTCCGTCACCCTACCTCCGCTGTAAGCATACGTATCGCAGCTGGACGCCATTTCCTATCATCTCCAGCCATTCTTAAAGACGAACAAGCATACGCCATCGCCAAAACGACAATCGACTTGATTCCCTTATTGACCCCTCGCTCTCTGCAAAACTCCGACAAGCGGCACCTTTTGTCCGCGGCCGTCGGACTATCATCGGACGCGGCAGCCATTGCTCTTCATGCCAGCAAAGGGCCTGCTGCTGCTGTCGAATTGCTAGAAACCGGTCGTGGCGTCATCGCCGGAGCCCTTTTTGAGCAATCCGACCTTGCCGCTCTCGAACGCGCACACCCCGACTTGGCGCGCTCTTTCGTCGACCTTCGAGATCAACTGGATACACCACCCCAGGAACACCCCCTTACTACAGCTGAGCACCGCACTGTGGCTGCTGAAATAGAAGGCGGTCGGCGCCGCGAGGCAGGTCCTCGGCTCGCCGGTCTGCTCGACACAATCCGTTCCAAACCGGGTTTTAAACGATTCCTCCTTTCGGCGTCGGAAGCCGACATACTGAATGCCGCGCGACAAGGCCCGATCGTCGTCCTGAATGTGAGCTCGTATCGTTGCGATGCTTTGGCCATTGAGCAATCCGGTATCCGATTGCTGGAGCTGCCACACGTCTCCCGAGACGCCATTAACGAACACGCTCGGGAACTCAAAACTCTCGCTACGCTTGGGTGGCTCTGGGATGCCATTGTCTGTCCCGTTCTTGAAGCTTTAGGCTTTACTGGGCCTCCATCGGACAGTCAGTGGCCGCACGTATGGTGGGTTCCTACCGGTACACTGACCCGGTTTCCACTCCATGCAGCGGGATACCATTTGAGACGCACCGGCGAAACGGCGGTCGATAGAGTCGTTTCATCGTACGCCTCCTCCGTGAAGGCGATTATATACAGTCGGCGACGGCCACACCAAGCAGCAGCGGCCGAAGACTTTCGAAAGGCCGTCGTCGTTGCCATGCAGAACACGCCAAAAAAGCAACGACTCGAATATGCAAGCGACGAA